GTCTTGGCTATTGTAAATAGTGCTGCTATGAACACTGGGGTGCAGGTGTCATCCTGAAGTAGGGTTCCTTCTGGATATATGCCCAGGAGTGGGATTCCTGGGTCATATGGTAAGTCTGTTCCTAGTCTTTTGAGGAATCTCCATATTGTTTTCCACAGTGGCTGCACCAAACTGCATTCCCACCAGCAGTGTAGGAGGGTTCCCTTTTCTCCACAGCCTCTCCAGCATTTGTCATTTGAGTACCACACTGTTTTAATTCCTGTAGCTTTGTAGTAAGTTTTGAAAGTGAAGTGTGAGACCTCCAACTTTGTTCTTTTTCAAGATTGTTTTGGCTGTTTGGGATCTAAGCCCTCTTTTGTATTTACCTGCATAGTCACTTTACCAGTGCTCTTTATTTCTTCATGTGGATTCAAGTTTCTGCCTAGCATTCTTTGTTTCAGTCCAGAGGACTCCCTTTATTATTTTCCTAGGAAAAACTTGCTAGTGATGAATTGCCTCAGTTTTTGTTTATCTGGGAATATCTTAATTTTTTTCTCATTTTTGAAGAATAGTTTTACTGAATATACAATTCTTGGTTGACAGTCTTTTTCTTTCCACACTCTAAATATGTCATTCTACTGCTTTCTCACTTTTATGGGTTTTTTTGTTTGTTTGTTTTGAGGGAGAGGGTGGTGAGGTAATTCAGTTTATTTTATTTACTTATTTTTTTTTTAAATGGAGGTACTGGGGATTGAACCCAGGATCTCGTGCAGGCAACACAAGCACTCTACCACTGAGCTATACCCTTCCCCCCTCACCTTTATGGTTTTTGATGAAAAATCTGATCCCTTGGATATGATGAGTCTCTTTTCTCAGCATTCAAGAGTCTCTCTTTGTCTTTAGCTTTCAACAGTTTGACTATGATGTGTCTAGGGGAGTTCATTGAGCTTCTTGGAGATAAATGTTTTTCATCAAATTTGGGATATTTCCAGCCATTATTTCTCAAAATATTCTTTCTATTCTCTTTTCCTCTTTCCTTCTCCTCTGAGACTCCTATTATGCATATGTTGGTATGTTTTCTGATGTACCATAGGTCTCTGAGTCTTTCTTCATTTTTTACTCTTTTTACTCCTCTGACTGGATAATCTCAATAGGCTATTTGTAAATTCACTGACTCTTCTGTCTACTGAAATCTACAGTTGAGCCTCTCTAGTGAATTTTCAATTTAGTTATTGTATCTTTCAACTACAAAATTTCTATTTCTCTTCTATAATTTCTCTCTCTTAATTGGTATTCTTTATTTGGTAGGACATCTTTTTCATACTTTCCTTTAGTTCTACAGATATGATTTCCTTTAGTTCTTCGAATGTATCTGAAATACCTGATTAAAGTCCTTGTCTACTAAGTTCAACATCTAGGGTTCCACAGGAACAGTTTCTGTTGATTGCTTGCTTTCATGTATGGGGAGGGGGTCATACCTTAATGTTACTTTTCATATCTTATAATTTTTTTCTTGAAAACTAGACATTTTAAATAATGTGGAATCTCTTGAAATCAAATTCACCCCAACCTCAGTGTTTGTAGTTGTTGATATTTGTTGTTTGTTTAGTGACTCTTCTGAATTTTATGAAGTCTGTATTCTTTGACATATGTGACCACTAAATTCTCTACCCAGCTTAGTGGCCAGTTAATGATCAGAGAGAGATTTCCTTAAATGCCAGAACCAGTGCATCTCTCAGTATTTGCCAAGGGTCTCTGTGTGCATGTTGGAGCACTCCTTTAATGCTCAACCAGACAACTGACAACTATACCTGTCTCTTAACTTCATATTTTCACAGAGCCTGAAGGTCAGCCAGAGGAGAAAGCTTTTAAGGCCTTCTTTTTTCCTGAGCTTGTACACACCCCTGTGCATGCAAATGGACTTCTAGGTTCACAGGAATATGTCAGAGCTTTTCAAAGTCTCTATGGACATCTCATTCCCTAGCATTTTCTTAGCCTATTGTGTGCCACAACTGTTTTCTACTGTTTCAGGCAGACACAAAATTACACAATTCCATCAAAATGTTTTTGAAAAATGCTCTCTGCAAAGAGGCTTTCTGTACTTAGCTCTGAGTCAGGTGAAATAAAGACAGCCTTGCAAGTGGTGTCTTCCAGGGAACCACCAGACAGGTCAAATAATGAAATTTCAGTGGAAATGAGGCTTTGAGGCAACTCCAGTGCCATTCTCCTCTCTCCTGTGGTTTCCAGGCTTCTTGTTTTCCTTGTGATTATGGGCTGTTGGTTTTTCAAGGCTACCACAGAGCTGGAAAGAGAGGCATGGGAATAGCAAATTAAAGCTTTACAAAGCTCACTGTTCTTACTGAAATTCAGCTATTTTTCTTAAATGCTGTCCAGATTGCTGCAAGCATTTTGTTAATTTCTGTAAGTCTGAAAATTCTGACTTTTTCCCCCCAGTTTTCTTATTGCTTTTATAGAAGAAAGAATTCTGGGAGGTCATAACGCCTCCATTTTTGCTGTCTTTTAAGTCTTTAGTCTTCAGTACACATCTTTTTAATATTCTGTATGATTAAATGGAAGAGCATATAAAGTACTTCTGCTATATACTGGAGTACAGTGGTTGCCTCAAATAAAAGCACTTGTGGAATTGTTGCAGTTGCAAACTGACCTAGCTGCTTTTTTCATGGAACACTACTTGACAAAATAACAGTGTTATTCAGACATGAATATCTGGAGGATGTTTTCTTGAAAACGAATGGAATAAGCCTGTCATTTCAAGGAAAACAACTAGCAGAATTTGATGCCAATGATAAATTTCAATCTTTCAAGTAAAAATAACAACTGAGAAAAACTTGTATCTATCACAGCTGTGACAGCTTCCCATTATTTATGTTTTTCTGATGAGACTGGTGACAGTGTTAATGAATATAATTTTTTGATGTGATTTAATGAAATGTGTCAGTATCTGGAAGATCTGGGTTATTCCATGAACCATTATTTTCCAAACGATCAATGCATAGATAAATGATTCTTTCATAGTTTAAATCAATATGTTTTAATATAAAAGAGTACAAAGTTTGTAGGTATGGTTTCAGATTTCACATTTTAACCAATCCTTAAGAAACTACCACTCATCAAGTTTTGGTATAGTATCAAAGAAGAGTACCCACAGTTATCTGCAAAGACTACTAAAATAATCTTTTTTTCCAACTGCGTATCTCTAAGGCCAGTGTTCTTCACATACAGACTGAATACAGAAGCAAACAGAAGAATCTAGCTACCTCCTCCTAATCCAGTCATTAAAGAGATGTACAAAAGTGTAAAACAATGCCACTCTTCTAATTTTTTGTTTTGAAAAATACAATTATTTTTAGTTAAAAAAATAAGTGTTTATTTTTATTAATATATAATAGGTTTATTGTTTTAAGTCAACTGACACATTAATTTCTACTATAGTAAATACCAAATGTTATAACTCACATAAAAGAAGTTTTATAAAGTCTTTAATATTTAAAAGGACAGAGAGCTCCTGATTCCAAAGAGACTGAGAACTGCTTACTGCTAGCTTTCATAAGATTAAAGCCCTAATCCCAAACTGGAAGACATGAAGGTGGCTATTGTTTAGTACTTAGTTCCGTTGCCCATTGTTAGTGCCGATATTTTTGGTGACCCATGTCCAAAATCTGCTGACTCACACAGGCATGAATGGTCAGAACTATTTAATCTGCACAGGACTTTTAAGGCTAAGCCTTTCTACTTCTTGACGAGGCCACGCCTCTCTATCTCAAGGCCTTTGTTCAAGCGTGTTACCTCTGCCTGGAAAGCTCTCCCACCCCTTCTAACAACTCTTGTTGGTTCTACGGATCTCAGGTGAAATGTCACCACATCAAGGAAGCCATCCCTGATCTATTTCTTCCAACCTCTTATATCCTCCAGATTTGACTGTCTCCGTAATTTATCTCATAGATCCATGTACTTTTATAGCACATACCGAAATTTACAGATATGTACTTTTGAGATTATTTGATTAATGCCCTTCTCCACCTCTAAGGCTTTAGCTTTGTAAGTGGAAGGGTTTTTTCTGTTTTGTTTGCTTACCATTTTATCCTCAGTATGTGTTTGGCAGTGTATATATGCAGAATGAGTCAAATATTTTCCAGTATGAAAACCACATGTTGAGGCAAGGATGAGTACATTTTATTGATTGTCCCATCATTTTAAATAGTTTTTCAAATTACCAGCCATGAGTTATGAGAGATCTGTTGAAAACAGTTTTTATTGTATGGACCTCCAAGTAAAAAGATGTCTCAGCCATCCAATCATTCTGAAAGAAATTAGGTTGCTTGATTTGCTTACACAGATGCCATTTCTCAGGATTTTCTCCCAACTCATGCTTCTTTGTTTCCAAGCTTTTTAAAAAATGAAATACAGAAAGACTTTTATAAATGATTATGCTGGGTCTTTCTCTAAAAATATCTTTTATTAAATGCAGGAGGAGATTGGATTCATGCTGTATTATTTCTTTTGGGACTAATGATACATTTTCCAACTTCAGAAATTGTTTTTAAGACCGCAGAAGTATCAGATTAAACTAATGTGACTACCTCAGGACAGTAATATTTTATTCTGTTTTCCTTCCAAGAATGTAACTGTTAAAAATTACTAGTTATTTATTCTTCACTACAATTTATTAACTGAGGGGATCGTATTTCATTCTTCTCCCATGTAAGTAACTTTTGTGTGTGTTTTCATGCAGCAGAGACAAATAGTTTTTCATTTGAGAGCTCTAGACTTTGGTCCTGTTTTAATTAGGAGACTTTTGAGATTTGGATGAAGGCAGCGTTTTGTCCTTTCAGATAGCCAGGCACTATTTGTGAGATCTGTCTACCATAAGAGTTACAAACCCCTTTCGGATAAGAAGTCTAGTATTCTTTAACAGCAGTGCTTTCAGAATTTACAGCCTTTACTTTAGAGCACTCAGTGTTGATCTTATTGCTGATCTCAAATGGTTTTGTTTTACACAGAAACAAATGGATATCAATGCTGCTATTCAAGCCTTGATTGAATCACATACTGCCCTACAGATGGAGGTAATATATCTGGCTTTATTTACATTGGCACTCTCAATAGACAAATTAAGCAGAAATTGTTTTCAGAAGCCAAAATGTGACTTTATCTCAAAGACTGTATTTAAAAGAAACTAAAAGTAATGAAACCATTTTTAAGGACAAAGTAAGCAATTTTAATAAACAGAAATACACACATTAAATGTGTTTTAATGAAAATATTTACCATAAAATAATATTTTAAAGGCTTTTTAAAAGTAAGAATTTGGTACTAAGGAGAAGAAAAGAGTTAAATTAGCCCTTTCTTAAAATGGTATCTATCACTATCCATCAACATTACTCATTTTTCTTATTTTAAACATTAATTACTCATTGTATAATTTTTAACATTATGCAGTAGGCATACTAATTATTAAGTTTTGTGTCAGCTTGAAATCTAGACGTGAGTGTGAATTTAACCTCTTATTTCAGATCAAGATTAATAAAGCGTACACATGTGCCTATAGTTAAACATAAACTGTTCTATATATCCTAACTCATTGCACACAATAGGGATACATTTTTCTTCTGCCTTGATCCACGTTGATCATTCGGGTTACATACTGGTGATGACTACTCTATGCTTCATTGCTAATATGATTCTCATGATGACCTGGCAGAGCTACCAGAATACTGAAGTGACTTTAATTGACCACAGCGCAGAGATATTCAAAACCCTGAACTACCTTAGCAATTTACTGCACAGCATCAAGAATCCCCTTGGCACACGAGATAACCCAGCACGAATCTGCAAAGATTTGCTTAACTGTGAACACAAAGTATCAGATGGTAAGTTCTTGGTTTCCTAAAACTCTGATGTCTAATTTCATCATTTCAGTGTTTAAGAATGCGGTGTATTCATTCCAAACCTTAATCATGTTTGATAAAACCCTGGCAGAGGCATTTTTAACATCAAGAACCAAACACGTACTCTCAAGGGAGACGTATTTCTGATGTCGAAGCATCCTTTTCCAAGGGCTCACTTTATTTAGGTGTTCTACTAAACAGCCTGACTTATCCCCAACTTTTCTCACCCCATCCCTAACTATATCACTTGCTTATACTTTGAGCTTGGAATGTAGCACATCTGTGTTAAAAAATTAAGACAGGAAGGGTTGACTTTTAGATTGACAGACAGAAGCACCTGTCAGGACCACCAAAGTTGGCAACATGAAGAAAGACATCATAGAGCCCCTCTACCACACTCTCTAAAATTAGTTTTTACACAAAATGGAACTTAAATGCCTCATTACAGAATCGGTGACTCTTAAGATGGAGTGGCTTGTCATTCTTGGAATTCGCTCATCCTCATACACATCCATCAGCTAGAGTTGCAAAGATGAATTTAGAGCAGAACCATCAAGGAAAGGTTTACAGCAAGTGGAGCAGCCATCACTGTCTGATGAGAAGTAGGGGAAACCCTGACGGCTACAGCGTGTCATTTAATTTTAATTTCTATTGGGTCTATCTGGTCAGCTATACAACCAACACGAGTAGTTACCATTTTTTGGTAAAAACTCCAGACCTATCACACAATGACACATAAGTCTGATTTGAAAAACACTAAGTTATTTAATTCTGTAGAATGAATAGTCTGAGTAGTCCATATTTTATCTATTTTAATTTTATACACACACATTCACATATATATATTTGTTCAAAAACATCTTCCATTCCAGAAATGCAATGAAAATATTCATTTTGTTTATATTAATAAAATGCTTACCTCTATAGCTATTTCCTGCCCTAGATTATCATAAAAAGAAATAACATTTACAGTTATAGCCCCCTATAGTAATTAAGTTTGCTTCTTTCCCAAATTTGAGGGTATGAAAATGCAGTTTGATAGAACTGAAAGGAACAAAGACACTGTAAGACGTAGAAATTACTGAAATCTACTTCAAGGTCTGCCTTCCTTGTAGGAGAAACAGCTAAGTGGTATGGATTGCAAGATATCAGAAAATCTTTATGCCCCAAAATACTTTCATCACTAGGAGATGGTAAGTGCAATAGAAACAACACAAAACAGCAGGAAAGGGGAATATGATTAAAAAGTGGAGTGCAGGGTGAAGTTGTAAATAGAGGAGTCAGATAAAGCATCTCTAGGAATGTGATATTTGAGCAGTATTAGGAGGCAGTAAGGGGACAAGCCACAGGAAATCTGGGGAAAGAGCTTTCCAGGAAGAAAGAACAAATGCAAAGAGCGGGGCCTGGGCCTGGGAGTGTGCGTGGCATGTTCCAGGGGTAGCCAGGGTGCAGGAAGAGAGTGCACGGGGAAGAGTGGCAGGAGCTGAAGTCAGAAAGGTAACAAGAAGCCACTTTGTATAGGATCTTAGAGGCTCCAGCTCTTACTGTGAATAAGATGGGAAGCCTTCGCAAGTTTCTGAGCAAAGGAATGACATGACTTAAATTTTGAAAATAGTACTTTGGATCTTTCTTGTATTGCAAACATAGTGAGGACAGGGCAGCAGAAGCCATTGAGAAGGCTACTGAAATAATCCAGTAAGAGATGATGATGGGTTAGACTAGATTTGGTAGCGGGGAAATGGTAAGAAATGGTCAAATCTTTGGCTATCCCTTAAGGTAGAACTGGCAGTTTTTGTTGATATTTTGGGTGTGGGTTATGAGAGAAGTAGAATGATAAAGGATGACTCTAAGATTTTGACCAAGGGACTAGAAGAGTGGGATGTCTCTCAACAGAGAGAGAGGAGCAGGTCTGGATCAGAAGTTCAGTTTGAGATATATTTAATTTGAGATGTCGGTTAGGCATTCGAGCGGAGAATGTCAAGTAGGTAGTTGGCGACTCAAGAGAGAAGTCAGGAGAGAGGTCCTGTCTCAGGGTGAAATGTAGGACGCCATTTGCATATGTATAGCGTCTAATGCCCCGGGACTGTTTAAGACTGCCTAAAGAGTGGCTAAATAGAGAGAAGAGTTCTAAAAACTAAACCTTGGGGCTTTCCAATGTTTAGGTATCAGGAGGTTGAGGGGGAGCTACCAAGAAACTAAGAAGAAGCTATCATTGAGATAGAAGAAAAATTAGATGAATGTGAAGAAAATGTTTGCCTGAGGAGGAAGGGAGTAGCTGGGTCAATGGGGTGAAGACAGAAAGGCTACTAGGTTTAGTAATGAGGAGATCTTTGATGACCTTTGCAAGACCAATTTAGATGAATGGTAGTAGTTAAAACCATATTAGGTTTTACAAGAAAAACTAGTGGAGCTGGAGAGTTTCCAGTGCCAGCAATGAAGCAGGAAATTCAATTTGCTAGGCTAAGTTTTTTAAAAATTAATTTAAAAGCATCAAGTACTAACAAAGTAGTGAGGAACTTTCAAGCCAAGATTTTGAAGAGGACAGCAGGGAGATGAATACGACACCTGGGTGTGTTCAGAAACTGAGCAGTGCTTTTGGTGGCTTCATGGGGATAGGGGTCAAAAGTTAGAATCTGAAGCCTACAAAAGGGAGGACTTAGGATTTCAAAGGGCTGCACTCTAAGTGTGAGAGTGAACTGGAAGACAAAGCATTCATACAGATTGTAGCCTAGCTTCACATTATCAAGATTGCTCAGAAAATCTGTCTTTGAACTTGGACTAAGATGGCTCCAGACTTACCCCTTCATACCTAACAGAAACAATCAAAAATCTTCTATAAAAGATAATATCCTAGGGCTCAAATTAGTCCCACAAATTTTTCATATACAGTACCCAGCAAACAATTGATGATAAGTAGGCACACAGGTTGATGAAACACCATGAATGAGAAATGGCAGAAACGGCAGATTAACAGAAGCAGACTCAAAAGAAAAAAGTAAGAGGAAAAAGTTGAGACACAAGATATAATGGACAAGATAAACCTCATTCAGGAACACAGTTTACTCACAATGAGCGAGAAGGCAGGACATGGGTGTACAAGTACCGATGGGTGGTAGAGTTAGTAATGAGAGCTTGGATCACTTTTCTTCAGTTTGCTTCAGTTATCTCAGTGGAAGTGAAGGGTTACCATTCGAGAATCAGGATGAAGGAACA